AAATGGCAGACAATTTAAAATTCATGAATTGTTCGTTTCTGGAATTTTCCATTTAGTATTTTCAGACCACAGTTGACTCCAGGTAACTGAAACCGTAGAAAGCAAAACTGTGGATAAAGGGGGACTACTGTATCTGGAAATTGATTCTCTGAAAACTCTCATGTCTTTGTATACTGCTTGGAAATTTTGTGTGTTACCCTAGGGCAACAAGTTGTACATTGAGGTAATAATGGGTTTTTCCAAATGTGTTGTGGAGGAAAGCATTACAGGTTGATGTTCAGGACATAGGTTCATATTCATAGCACAATGAGGATCCAAAAGTAGCTTAAGATGGCTCATCAATGAAGTATTAGTTACAGGGACTGCAGAATTGGAGGGGTAGACAGGGATCAATCACTAACCATTCATCAGTGTTTGGATATTAGATGTAGGCAATGATGTAGAGTTGAAGAGTCACTGTTTCATTGCAAAAATTAGGTTTTCCAGAGCATATCATCTGGTTGTTCAAGATTTCCTTTTGAATTTGTAAGTTGCAGTCATTAGACTTTTTTAAAAATTTCAAACCACAGGTGTACATTTATATATAACATTAGAACAGAGACTTTTGGTTTTAGACTTATTCTGTAGATCAGCAGTCCTCAACCTTTTTGGCACCAGCAACCAATTTCATGGAAGACAACTTCCCCACAGATCAGGATGTGTGGGGCGTTTCAGGATGATTCAAGTGCATTACATTTATCGTACAGTCAAACCTCTTTGTTAATGATAATCTGTATTTGCAGTGCTCCCCAGCGCTAGCATCACCAACTCAGCTCCATCTCGTGTCATCAGACATTAGATTCTCATAAGGAGTGCAACCTAGATACCTCCCATGCACAGTTTACAGTAGGGTTTGGGTTCTGGCTCCAATTAGAATGCCTCCACTGATCTGACAGGAGGAGGAGCTTAACTGGTGCAAGATACAGGGAGGGCTGGGTGTAAATGCAGAGGAAGCTTCATTGACTGGCTGCTGTT